TACTAAATTAAGTTAAATTAAAAAAAAATATTTTTGTTATTTAACTAAACATGTGAAGATATCTAGATTTAAAAATCCTTAATTGGGCAGTCTCTGTGTGTGATCTCATTAATAAGCCAACGATTAAGAATAACCTAAAATACTGAAATAATATATTTATTTTCTACTACATGAAAATATAATGCGAAAACTCTCCCAGATAGCACAAAAGGAACATTTACATTCTAAGAATATTCCTCCTAAGTTCTTATAAGTATATTCTTTTTTTAATAAGTATGGCATATGAATAGTACATTCTACTACGAATGTGATTTAAAGGTATGTTATCAGCATGACCTTAGAATGTCTTCTTAAATTATGGTTTACAATAAATTTTAATTTCAGAGTCGTTTCTGATTATTTTTTCTTGTGAAATTTAAAATATTGAAAGTAATTTTTCTAGAAATATAGCAATGATAATTTGTATAGATAAGTTTAGTTTCTTTTTAAATAAATAAATAAATCTTCTCTTGAGCTGGTCGAAATAGAAATTGTTTACCAATAAAATAATTTTATAACAGTAAACGAGAAGAACAATCTCAACCAGAAATCATTAACTAGTAACTAGTGTTTTTCTTGACTTTTATCCAACAAATTTGTTAGATAAATACTTAGTAGAGTTAAACTAAACTTACTCTAAAACGTCTTCAAATTTATATTTATTAATAGTTAAATTTAAACATTTTTTTCGAAACTGCGAAGTCTAATAATTCAGAATTATGAATTTGTGGCATATCATGTTATTACAATAAGTCCTTCAATTGTATAAGTGCAAACAAGGCAATAACATCTATGCAAGCAAAGTTTTAGTTTCAAAGTTAAACTTGCCGGAGGTACTACAGCGACAGTCAAATGACAGATTACGCCATCCGGTTTCTAACAAAAATATCATTCGTTTAAGCTTGAAACATTAGCTGTTGTTGAAAGTCTAAGAAAATTTATAATTTACCTATTGGATATATATTTTTTTTACTCCTGTAGCATATTGTAATTCGTTAGAGCTAAAACAAAGAAGGATATGATTTCTCGAATTGCTATATGGTGGCTGGAGTTTCAAGAATTTAATTTTATGATAGTGTACACACTTTGTAAAAGAATGAAACACATAGACGTCTTAAGTCGCAACCCTTGTGATTCACATACCTGTGAGAAAGTAATGCGTAGAGAACAAGCTGACTGGGTTTTGTCAGGGCAAAAACCAAGATATTGGCTATTAAGAATATACTTCTGTAGCCTTCTGAAACCGAACACGAACACCAAGTTTATAAAAATTATTGTTTACGTGACGAACGGATCTATCGAATTACGGCACATGGTTTAAAATGGGCAGTCCCAAAGGGAATGCGTCACCAAATTGTCCAAGTAGCTCATGACGAGTTTGAGCTGAACCTATGATGTAGTACATATCGATCATCTGGGTCCATTTCCGAAAAGTAAATATTCTAATTTATATTTAATAGTTGGCATTGATGGGTTTATTAAATTTTGGTTTTTAAAACAAGTAAAGTCTACAAAAACAAAACATGTTATAGTTTACCTTAAAGATATTTGTTCGACCTGTGGTGTTCCCAAGACTAATCATAGATCGAGGAAATTGTTTTACATCCAAAGTTTCCAAAAATTTCTGTCAACAAAATAATATTAAGCATGTTCTTAATGCCGTCGCTACTCCACGTGCTAATGGGTAGGTTGAACGTTTAAACCGAACAATCCTTGACGTTCTCCTTGCCTTAACACCCAAGTAAGGGCTTTGGGACGAAAAGGTAAGAGATATTCAATTTGGTCTCAATACTGTAGTTAATAAATCGACTGGCAAAACACCAAGCCAATTACTATTATCTTACTCCCCAAAAGGTAGTACTGAAGGCACTGACAGCATCTTAACTGATGATATTAAGCAGATACCAGTAGTCATTGAAAACCTAATCGAAGCAAGACGCGAGGCAGTTGATTTTTTTTATAGTCGCACAAAATAAACAAAATAGATTCTTCGACAAGAAATGTAAGAAACCAAGAAAATATAAAGTTGGAAATTTGGTACCGATTAAAGAATCAGCAAGCAACAGGTATTAATCGAAAATTGACATCTCCATATGATGGTTTAATGGTTATACAAGTAGTACTACCGAATGACAGATATGTAGTAGCAGACATGTCAGGGTCGTATCACTCGTAAGGTAACCTATGAGAATGTGATAGCAGTGGATCGAATGTGTTCTTGGATTCCAGTTGGTGGAGGTTTCTCTGGTGAATCCGATGAAGCTAGTGATGAAAAAGGGTTGGTTTTGTTAGATCCAGATGAAGCTGCTACTAGCCAACTCGAGACGAGTTGATAGCAGGATGGCCGAATGTAAGACCCTGTATATTTTACCTCATAATATTCTAGATATATTTTAAACGCCGTAACAAAATCACACCAATTTTGTCAAGCGAGGCTTCAAAGCTTATCGCTCCAGATTGTTTAGACTACGTAAGGGCTGTGGTAAGGGCAAGCGGCGATAATATAAACAGAACGCTGGTCACGGCACTTAAAAAAAATATCTTAAGGCTCATAGTTTTTTTTATGAAAGACGCAGACAATATCGGAGAGGTTCAGTTTAATATTTAGGTTGGCATTTAGTTGCTTTTGAATCTTTTAAAGAAGTGGAGTGTCGGTAAATGTTAATTTAAATACGATTTAATAATTAATTTAAAGAGTTATAAAATTGTGACAGTGTTGAGGCAGTGTTAAAGATCCATTAAAGGGTGAGTTGATTCACTGAGTATGCATTCTCTACATGTTCTGTTTTAATTTTATAATTGACTTATTTAAGAGTTATTAGTTTAAAGAGTCATCTTCTTTATAATGATTTGTTTGTATCTGTAACTGAAACAGACCTTTGCGTTTGGTGTTATTGCACGTCTCAGTACAGGGTAAATATATTGTTTTTAAGTTATTATTAGTAGTGGCAAGGGTTCACTAGGCTGGTGGCAAGGGTTCACCAGTTGTTTAAAGAGCTAGTGGCAAGGGTTCACTAGACTGGTGGCAAGGGTTCACCAGTTGTTTAGAGAGCTAGTGGCAAGGGTTCACTAGGCTGGTGGCAAGGGTTCACCAGTTGTTTAGAGCTAGTGGCAAGGGTTCACTAGGCTGGTGGCAAGGGTTCACCAATTGTTTAAAGAGGGCACTTCGCGTTTAGTGCCGTAATATGTTTTGGACATTTGTGAAAGGGTGTTTTGCGTTTAATACCCGTTGTAACATTTGAACTGTGATATTTTACCTAAATAATAAATATCAGGAATTTTGGAGGGCCGGCATACTCACAAAGATTTATTTTTTTCAGGCAACTCTATGTTATGAACCATCCTGAACAAGAACCTGCCATACCCATAGCCGTTCGAATTAAAGTTTTTTTTTGTTTATTTACCAATGATTATTTAATATTATTTTACATTTATTAAAATCGATTAAAATTTAATGTGCTGAGGCTTTTTGGTACCATATTAGGAATAATTTGGGTTGTTTATCAATAGGTATATTAATGACTTGAATTTTGACAAATTGAATTTGTATCAAAATAATTTTACGAAATATAAAATTGATGTTCTATTACAAGACTGAGTTTTTTTTGTCGACAAAAACCAGGATAAATACTAATAATAATACCCATAATAAAATCAATGATGTTTATGTATTATGAAAATATTTGTTAGAAGACATGTTATGTCACAATTTTTGGTAACACAATTTGAAGGGACGAATAAAAAAAATAAAACAAAAACATATTTTTTCTAGGTTTATATTAAAAATACAAGGTAAGTAATCATCAAAAATAATTATGCACCAAATGTTTTTTATGAATATACAACTTGAACAAAAAGTTGTTTAGAACAATTTTTACCAAATTTGCAAAAATTTTAAATCGAAACGCGTAATTCTGTACAAGTAAACATGAAATAATTTAAATACTTATTTAATGGCATTTCGAGTGTTTAACGACGAAAAGGTCATCTGTCCTTAGCGTCTTTTGTCAGAATATTCGTATATTTAGTGTATTATATACCAATATTGTACGCAGTTTTGAAACTGATAATTAAATAAATCATATTAATGTTAACTAACCATAATAAATGATAGAATTTCACTAAATTTAAATTGCCCCCGTATGGTTGAAAACAGCAAATTGATATTTGATTACTTATAGATTACCACCTATATACAAAATGACACGGAGACCTGGAATATGGCGCCCAACTTGATTAGACCTTCCGCGCATGTTGAAGCTCATTCTCTATCCCTTCTATTTTCTGGCCCGGCCAGCTTCTTTGTTGACAAAATGGCCGCGGTATCATGATTTAAGCAATGTGAGTGACAAAGAAAGCCAATGCCTGGCAGATGTTGCTTTCTTTGTCGTTGGTCCTGGCACGTTTAAATTTGACTGTTGCCTGTTTTCCCATACAAGTGACACCCCCGTGATTGCACGAAAGCTATGAAAATATTTTTGAGGTTAGAAAATTTTTCTCGCTTATTTTACAAAAAATCGCATTTTTCCTCACCTCAAGTTCTTTATTTTAGTCTAAAAAGGCAGAATATCCACTTTATTTTATAGAAAATTTGTTAATTTTGACAGCCCTAAAGTGAAACGGACCCCTTCCGACACGTAATCGGCATGTAACAAAACGTCTTCAAATATTATGTTTCTCGCAGAATTTATATCCTGGCTATCAAAATTTACTATAAATGTGTTAACAGCTAACGACTGAGCCACAATATGCAACACCAAAATAATTAGTTTTTTGCACTACAATAATAAATAATACCAAAAATCAAAGAGTTAAAACCAAAAATCAACCGACAAAATATGAAACGGAATCTAACCTAATATCTAAGTATGTACAGCTGATGAAGTAAACAAAAGTCCGCCCGTAGGCTGATCTTTTAATAGAAGGCACTGTTTGAGCATCTGTGGTGAAGTAAAATGTCATTTTTTCTAACCTTTGTTTTTTATCATTTTTAATTGTGAATGTTTTTTAAAAACGTGTCAAACAGTGTCAAAGGCACGGAACAGAACACATTTAATTATTTTATATCAAAAATTGGTGATCTTTTAGATTAGTATTTTACGATGAAAGTGGTTTTAAGTAATATAAATCCACCTCTCGGTAAGTTAATTCTATTTCCTGTCTTGCATCATTTTTTAATTTATTTAATTTAGGTGGATTACTTGTGGCAACTTATGTTAACATAAAAACAAACAAGGCCCTAGATATATCTTGGGGAGAAGAGTCTTCGGTGGAAAATTTCCATTGCAAAACCAGCAACGATATTGCTAGGGCAATTTCCAGAGGAGTTTTACCAGCACTTTACGGCAACGATGCAATAGAAATGACTGAAGTGGATCATTGGCTTACATTTGCGTTAGGTCCACTCACAGCAAAATATGATTTTTTTAATGCTATACAAGTTTTGGATAGAGCCTTGGCTCCTGTCACTTATTTAGCCAACAAGAGATTAAGTATTGCCGATTTTATTGTTTTTGCTACATTATATGGTAATTTCTATTATAATATGGTCTAATTGTAACATTAATACTATTTATATCTTAGCTAGCAAACAGTATGAAGATTTGGTTTTGAAAAAAGCTATCCCAGTCAATTTACAAAGATGGTTCAATTTTATTAATTCTCAAGAGGCCGTTGAAAATGCTTTGAACAGCCTCACTCCTGAGCAGAAGGCAGCTCTTAATCCACTAAAGAAAAATAGTAGACAGTCTCTTGAAAAAAGTGTTAATATTACAGCTGGTGGAAGAGCTCAAGAAGGGAAATTTGTTGAACTACCAGGAGCTGAAATGGGAAAAGTAGTTGTTAGGTTTCCACCTGAAGCTTCAGGGTAAAACATTTGGTCACAAAATATTATGATGTATTAAAAAAAATATTTTAAGGTATTTACATATTGGTCATGCTAAAGCTGCCCTGTTGAATCAATATTACCAAGAAACTTTTAAAGGCAAACTCATAATGAGGTTTGATGATACAAATCCAGCAAAGGAGAACTCTCATTTTGAAAAAGTTATTCTTGAGGATGTTGACATGCTTGAAATCAAACCTGACATGTTTACCCATACATCGCAGTATTTTGATTTAATGTTGCAGTATTGTGAAAATATGATACAGCAGGGTAAAGCCTATGTTGATAATACTGAAGCTGAACTGATGAAACAACAACGGGAACAAAAGATAGAATCTGCAAATAGAAACAACTGTAAGTGAGTTTTAAGTATCTTGAATAGTTTAATGAATTAAATATATTTAATACAGCTGTAGAGAAAAACTTACAAATATGGGAGCAGATGAAAAACGGTTCTGAAACTGGACAAAAATACTGTGTTAGAGCAAAAATTGATATGCAGTCTGTCAATGGGTGTCTTAGAGATCCTACAATATATAGGTGCAAGAATGAACCTCATCCTAGTACAGGTACCAAGTACAAGTAAGTTTTTCCAAATACTTTTTTATGAAACAAAAAACTACTTCTGATTGTTTTAAAGAGTTTATCCAACTTATGACTTTGCTTGCCCAATTGTCGATGCAATTGAAGGAGTGACCCACACATTAAGAACCATGGAATACCACGACAGAGATGCTCAATTCTACTGGTTTATAGAAGCCTTAGGTCTTAGAAAGCCTTACATTTGGGAGTATAGTCGCCTATCAATGACAAATACAGTCCTCAGCAAAAGAAAACTGACTTGGTTTGTAGATCAAGGTTTAGTTGATGGGTGGGACGATCCCAGGATGCCCACTGTTCGTGGCGTCTTACGAAGAGGAATGACTGTAGAAGGCTTAAAAGAATTTATTATAGCGCAGGGATCAAGCAAATCTGTTGTGTTCATGGAATGGGATAAAATCTGGGCTTTTAACAAGAAAGTTATCGATCCAGTGGCGCCTCGTTTTACAGCTGTAGATGTTGAAAATGTACTGGTTTTGGTCAAAGGTGTTAAAGAGGAGTGCTTATCTGTACCAAAACATCCTAAAAACGCGAGTGTTGGTAATAAGAAGGTGTGGGTGGGACCTAGGTTGTTGATAGATCGCGCCGATGCGGATCTTTTAAAGGAAGGAGAAAACGCTACTTTTATTAATTGGGGTAATTTACTGGTTAAAAAGGTAATATTAAGATTATTTTATATGTAGAACATGAAAGGGTTTTTGTTTTTTGTTTGTGTAGATCATGCGTGAAAATGGCAAGATATCGTCTGTAGAAGCTGAACCAAATTTAGATAACAAAGACTACAAGAAAACTCCAAAAATTACTTTCTTGGCACATACAAAAGAGGCTGAATTTACTCCAGCCTACTTTGTTTATTTTGATCATATCATCAGCAAACCTTTGTTGGCCAAAGACGAAGATTTTAAACAATTTGTTGGGCATGAGACAAGAAAAGAAGTTCAGGTTATCGGAGACCCTGAACTGAAAAATCTTAAAAAGGGCGATATCATTCAGATTCAACGTAAAGGTTTCTTTAAGGTAATATTTATTGTTACCTTTTTTTTAAAATTAACAAGTCAATGTATATACGTTTAGGTCGATGTAGCTTATGAACCTTTAAGCCCTTTTACCTGCCGAGAACAGTCAATTATTTTGTTCTATATTCCTGATGGACATACTAAAGACTCCATTTTTACTGCAGCTACTCAGTCTACTTCTATATCAACTAAGGTAGGTGTAATTTTATTTAAAATTTATTTTTTAAACAATTGTACTGGCATGGTTGAAAGAAAAGCGCATCATCTGTTTTCAATCAATAATTTCCAGATTAAGGTAAGCGCACATTCATAGGAAGCGGACGGACGACACGTAGCGGAAAAATATTACTAGCATAAAATTAAACAGAGCAAAGCGGTCGGCATGGGTACGCATCGGACGGAGAGCATTTTAAAAATTCGCCGGGTTGTAATTTAAATCCGTTCTCTGCGTCCGCTGCGTGCCGATGACGACAAGTGTGCGATAGCGAGTCGGAACTTGCCGATGGAAGAATAATTAAAATAGCAGCATTTTGATACGGATTTTGATTTGGTTTCGTAAGTAACAAGTAAAACACATTGGTGGTCAGTATATCGTGAACGATACATATGTTTGACATAGCCGGTCGTGCAGAAATATAGTCGTTTGACATAACCGGTCGTGCACTTCTTTTTAAATTAATTTCCTAAACCCATATTTTTCTTTTCCTTTTTTTCTGGTATTTCGATTCCAGTTCTAGCACTACAAACAGTTCCTCGTCAGAGGAATCCATTATTCAAACTGATTTCAGGAAAAATATCCAATGATTCCAATGCGCTCTGTCCATCTGCTGCCGATAAATGTGCGTCTGGGCTTCAAAAATGCGCCGTGTGCCGTCCGTCCGCTTCCGATGAATGTGCGCTTGCCTTTAATAAGATTCAGAGAGATAAAATTTAATTTCTTTGGCATCTGTGACACTATTTTTTTTTTCGTATATATTATTACTAGGGTCAAGAAAAATAGTTTTTTCTTGCCCCTCGTATCAATAAAGAATCGGCTGAATCAGCAAAAAGAGAAAGCATTAACCTGGTTTTATATTCATTTACTTTATAAAGAGTTGGCATTTTTACCATATGTCTGAAAAGTAATATTTTTAAATTCTGATCTAAAAAAATGTTAATTATTTGAAATAAGTATGTTCATAGTTTTGGTAAAGTGGTTTCTTTAATTAATGGAATTTTATTTTTATAATAAGAAATATTTTAATTGATTATTTTAGAGTGCGACGAAGGAATCTAAAGTGCTCTTGCCGTCATCTTCGAGTGTTTTGAATGAAAAAATTACAAATCAAGGGAATATAGTTCGCGATTTAAAAGCTAAAAAGGCATCTAAAGGTGAAATTGATAGTGCCGTTAAGGTACTGTTAAACTTGAAAGAGGAATATAAAAAGGTACTGTCAATTTTCCTTAACATTTGTTTAGTTTTTTATTAAAAATACTCGAAATTTTGCAGGAAACAGGTCAAGATTGGAAACCCGTAACTACAACATCAGCACCAGTTATAGTAAGTGCTCCGTTGAGTGCCGGCAATGATTTAGGAGATAAAGTTCAAGCTCAGGCTGATAAGGTTAGTATCTATACCGGGTGCGTCTCAAAAGTGGCTCATCCCCTATAACTTTTTTATTCTTTCAGATAAAAAACGAGATTTGGTATGTTTATATAAGACTTAAATTAGGACTGATTGACGTATTCAGTTGTTTTCGGTCACTTCCTGTTTCATCGGAAATAACTACAATTTTTAATTTTTAAATGGCAACCTCGGTATTTTTTTTTTACTTTATTCGATAGAAAATGACTTTCTGAATAGAATGACATATCATATGTCAATTTTTGACATTCTCGCTTAATAAAAAGTCGTATGAATTTTAAAATACGATTTTTTATTAAGCGAGAATGTAAGATGATTAAAAATTAATGTTAAAAACAGTAATTCTTAATCAAGGAGCCTTGGAAAAATAGATTTGATCGTCTAATGTTTTTAGTGTCTTGTCATGACCAATTAGAAAATGCACAAATTGTATTTTTAATCATCTCAATTTTTTCAAATGGTACGAGGGTGGCTCATTAGTGTATTTCGAAAAAGCATTTTTTTACGAATAATTTGATACCACACACTTGGTATTTCGAGTCAAATTTTTGTTACGAATCGCAAGTTATAATTTCAAATAAACCATATGCGAAATATCAAAAGTTTGACATATGATATGTCATTCTATTCAGAGTGTTAAATAAATAAATGCCTTTATTGTCAAAAATTTTTACAATTTGTAGACAAAGGAAAAGTAAACAAACAAAGTAAACAAACGAACAAACAAAAGAGAATACAAAACAAGTATAGAAATTACATTGTCAGTCTTATTGTTTAAAATAAATATTTATAAATGTTTACAATGCCAAAGAATAAAAAAATTAAAATAAGATCCAAAAATATTTAGTAAGTTTATACTAAATCCCACACCCGGCATTGCATCAGTCGACTATTTTTATTAAAATAAAAATAGTTTGGGTACCTAGGTCGACTCAGCCTTAAATGAGTACTTGGGATTCACATTCCTGAGGTAATAATAGGCAGTTGAAGCGTAGTGCTAGCCACATTACCTTCCTTGTATACCGAACGGCTCTAGTATAGCAAGCTGTACCTTGCTATTCCCAAGGCGTTAAACGCTATATACGGGAGCTATTATTATTATTATACTAAATATAGTAATAGCAAACATTAGATCAGTGTTTACAAGATCAAACAAGTTATTTTCTATTGAATAAAGTTTAAAATACCTAGGGTGCCATTTCAAAATCAAAAGCTGTAGTCATTTCCGGTGAAACAGGAAGTGACCGAAAACAATTGAATACGTCAATCAATCCTAATTTATGTCATATAGTAACATACCAAATCTCGTTTTTTTTAACTGGAAAAATAAAAAGTTTAGGGGTGAGCCACTTTTGAGACGCACCCGGTATATTTCAGTAGTAATTATATCCATATATGCATATATCTAATTTGATTGTTTAAGGTTAATTTAGTTATGTTGATAGGATTTCAAAAAAATGAAAATAATAACAATTTTTGTGCTATACATAATAACACATTACGTCGAAAAGGCGTTAAAATAATTTATATATTTGTTGTAAGTTAGAATTTTTTTATTAGATAACAGAGACGCCTATTAAATAATTATACAGGGCGAGTATAAATATTTATTGAGGCCTGGTCCTGGTCGATCTCAATAAAAGAAACACATTTTCTCTTTACCGTTTTTCAAATAAGTCCAAAATAACCCAGTTATTCAAGTTTGAAAATTTAAAAAATGTATTTATTTTTCTGTAATTGCGTTTTTTTTTCTGTAATTGCATCCCTAATTGTACCGTGAGAAAATTTGCGGTGAACAAGCAGTTATAAAAAGTTTTCTAAAATATCCAGGAAAAGAAAATGCACGATTTTCAAGATCTTTTTTTTTTCGCGAAAAAGGCCTCATAAACGTATTTCTTGGGTCGAAATATACTACCCTTAAGACACACCCTGTGTATTAAACGTATATTGTTTATCACAACCAACAAATGCAATACAATTGAAAAAAAAAACGGTGTCAGAGTTGGCTGGAAATAATGATCGCTATCATATATGTAAATTTATATAGGGATAAGATTCAAAGCCAAATTGGGGCCGTTTTTTCTCACACTACATGTTGCACTGTTGACAGTTGTTTGTCATTTTTCTATCAATTTTTGGACGAACATCTAACATACATGGTGACGCTTCTCATACCACGCGAAGTCTCCAAGGAGAACGACAGTTTGTATTGAAATGAAATTTTGTGAGATATGTAAGTTCATTTATAGCATTTTTTTAAAAATAGACTTAGAGTTCTACAGATCTTGAAAAAAAGTTACACATCAAAGTCTTTTTTTGTAATGGAACGCCCTGTATACAGGGTGCTACAAATTCGAGGTACGAGCAATGGTATCTCGGAAACCGTAAGAGATACGAAGATGGTTAAATTGGGGCAAAGTCGCGCCTTTAGGATGTTCACCAAGATACCATCAAAAAAGTTTTAAAAATTTCAAGGAATGCTGAGTTTTTTGGAAAAAACGGATTTTTTTGAAAATCAATTTTATTTTTTCCTGGCGTTACTTTTTAGAAAATCAAAAAACTAATTGCACATTCTCATGGCTACTTTATTAGGGCTATCTAATATTATTTTTAGATTTTCAAATTAGCTGATAATTTGTGAGATACAGAGGACAACTTAATTTTTTTAAATACGGACCTGCATTTTTTATTTCAGATTTTGAAAGAACTCGGTCTCCTGAGTACAATGATATGCCACATTTTTTTTTGTTTCGGACATTTGAACACAATTTAAGTTAAGTTCGGCTCTGTTTTTTTAAATATTTAATCTATTCATCGTTACAATATTGGTAAGCTTTCAAACTTAACAATGACGTGGAGTAAAACATTGAATACGGATAATCAAATGCAATTAAACAATAAAAAATAATATAAAATTATTGGGCATTACTTGACGTCATTTTTAAAAGTTTTTTGATGGCATCTTGGTGAACATCCTAAAGCGCAACTTTGCCCCAATTTAACTATCTTCGTATCTCTTACGGTTTCCGAGATACCAATGCTCGTACCTCGAATTTGTAGCACCCTGTATTACTTGATTTTCGAATTCTAGGAGAAAAATAAAGGCGAGTTTCATTAGAGAAGTATATGACTAAAATATTTAAAGTTTTTGACATATTTAACATGTAGCATAATTAATAAAATATGTGGGAAATATTAAATATAATACATTAATTTAATATAATAGTAAAACAGGTTTCTGGATCTTAACATTAGGTTTCTTATAAACTAATATATGATGGCCCTGGTAGTTCAATTTATAAATTTCGCTTTTTTGCAATAATGGAATTCGGGTGATCGCCATTTTATTTATACCGCTACAAGTGTTAACAGCCTTTGGTTTTCGACTTTTTACCAAATATATTATATTCTTATTATTTTGGGGTATAAACCTGGTGTTAGGTAAGAAATTGATTTACAACCCTTAACACGGTTACCTATTAATTATAATTTATTTTAGAACTTTATAGAACTTTTCCTAAACCACACTTACAACCATCAGCGTGGAAAATAAAAAAAGATAATATTTCCTACAGTAGTTGTTTTATTGACCAGTCTTCAGAACCTTACGTTACATCTCGAAATTTATAAATTGAACTACCAGGGCCATCTATATATTAGTTTATAAGAAACCTAATGTTAAGATCCAGAAACCTGTTTTACTATTATATTAAATTAATGTATTATATTTAATATTTCCCACATATTTTATTAATTATGCTACAAACATTTTCTAAAAATGAAGAACAAATGTTAAGTTTCAATAAAAGCTACCTAAATTGGAGTATACTATGTATAGCCCGTATAAACAAGGGTATAGCCTAATATGTAAATAGCCATTGTATACTTAGTAGTAAGTTACATACAGGGTAAGACAAAATGATTATTGAATATTGGTCATTTTTAAAAGCAAGTTACTCTTTTTAATTTAAATAGAACACCGAATATATTATTCCGATATTCATGTCTCTTTAAAATATTATTAAGGTTGCTTACTCCTCGAACAATATGTCTGACGTTAATTTAAGAAAAGTTAAGATATACGGTAAAATATTCGACGGTAATAAAAAGATACACGCTTGAAATTTATTTTAATTATTGTAGAGTTAGAAGTAGATATCTAAACATATAGTTATGTGACAAAAATTAGCTAGATGACAAAAATCTCAACAGACACCGATTTGGTCATCGAAACTGTAGGTATAGATTTTAACGTGTAAGACAGCTGTAAGAAGATGTAGACATTTTAATGGGAAATCAAATGTATTAAAAAGTGATAAAAATTGTGTCGATGCATTTCTTCTATGCGGTATTGCCAGATTTTAAATCACAATTTCAAACCGCACAAGTAAGCGTTTACGAAAATTTTTCACTATTAATTACTCATTTTACTACAGCTGTAATCTACATATATAAAATGCTAATGTTTATCTGTGTCGTCTCTACTGAAGTAACGACTTGCTCTAGAAAGTTGCTTTTTTACTAAAAGATAGCTAATTGGCTCTTCTAAAAACTGTTGTCGCCGGATTTTTTGTTTTTCATTTAATTAAAAAAAAAAAATCCTGATGTCGTACCGGATGCGCCAGGCTTCAACTAGTAGATTATATTTAGCTTAGATATATTATCTTCATTTCAGTAATATACATGAAAGTTTTTAAAATAGCTTATATTTTTCTACACACATTTTCCTACAAACGTAAAAGGGTTACCAGATGAAAACTTGTCCACCCCGGACAAGCCTCCCCAAAAATCCGGACGACATAATTTGTTAACGAAGTAGCATTTTTTACATTACCTACCTACTGATTGGTGCTAGTTATTATTTTTTATTTTATTTATAAAATATGAGCAAAAGATACATTTAAAACTTTCAAAACTTAAAACTTACGAAGTAAAAGAATGAATTTACACTGCTGTATTTATCGACGATTTTTTAAGTA